TTAAACATATATGTTTAGTTTTAAACAATAATATATATAAAATATCAAAAAAAAAAAAAATAAAAAAAATAGAAAAAATAAAAAAAATAAAAAATAAATTTAGAACAGCAGAACCACTTTCTGTTTTTTCTTGTTTTTTTTTTTTCTAATTTTTATTATCTTTTTGTTTTTGTTTTTTTTTTTTCTTGTTTGCACTTGATATATACACCACCAACTCTTCTCACACACAACATTAATTTCACTAGATCATTGATGCGATTATCGCTATTATTATTTTTTTAAAAAAAAATTTTAGAATAAAATTATATTTTACAAAAAAAAATTTCTCTTTTTTTTTTTAATTTCTTTTTTAAAATAAAATAATTATCTCACATCCTTTTAACATTTATTTTATCTTTTTATTCACAATAACAACAATAATAACCCCTCTCCACTCCACTCCACTCCACTCATTTTGTTATTTTTATTTATAAATAATAAACAGTACCACCATTATCATTTATTTTCATAACACCAATTGTTTTTTATATCTTTTTTTCTTTATTACTTTATTTTTTTCATTCATTTATTTTTTTTTGAAATTTACCCCACATCACCCCACTCATTAAATTTTTTATATGATGATTGATTTAACATTCACCCACAAAACATTTTATTTGCACATATTACATTTAAAAATAAAAATAATAATATAATAAAAATAAAAATAAAAATAATTTCTTTTTTTATTCATTATTTTAATATTAATATTATTATGAATAAAAAATATTATTATTTTTTTATTTTTATAATATATTTTATTTAATTTAAATTTAATTTATTTTAATTAATTTTAAATAATTTTTTTTTTTTTTTTAATTTTAAAATTTAAAATTAAAATTGTTTTATTTTGTTTTGTTTTTTAATTTTAATCAACATAATAAGTTTATTTTTAATTTTTTGTGTTTAACACTTTTCATAAGGTATTTAATTATATTAATTTTTTGTTGTGGAGCGTATTATTATTATTATTATTATTATTTTTAAAATATAAGGGGGTGTGTATTGTATTGTCGTTATTTTTTTTTTTAATTTTATCTTTTTTTTTTTAGATCTAAATAGTATTTATTACTAATAGGTTATATTGGCGCCCATTATCCTATTAGTAAAGTTACAGCAAATGACCACTTTATTATATTATTATCTATTTTTCTTTTAATTTTTTTTAAATTAAATATAACAACCCAATATTAAAATAACATAAAAAAAAAAAAATATTATGTATATATATATATAAGTTTTTATTAAATAATTGTTGTTTTGTTATTTCTTCTTTGCTTTTAATAAAGACAGTTTTCTTTTAATAAAAGTATTCTTTTTTCCACAGATTATATTTTTTCTAAAAAAAGGACCAGGGAAAAGAAATTAAATTTTTTAGATTTTTTTTTTTTTTTTTTATCAGTTTTTTTTTAAACAAGCAAACGGACCAATCAATAAAAATATTAATAAACACAAATAAATAATAAATATTAACTTAGAGTTTCTTTCTTTTTCAAATAATAGTTATAAATATAGTTTTCTTTTTTTTTTTCCAATACAAATAATCATCATTAAAATCAAATAAATATATATAAAAATGGATCCAATTTCCTCAAATATTCAAAATTTTAGTTCCAAGGAACTTATGGAGATGGAATCAGATTATGCTGCACATACTTACCATCCAATTCCAGTTGTTTTTAAGAAAGCCAACGGAGTTTTTGTTTGGGATGTTGAAGACAAGAGATATTATGATTTCTTAAGTGCATATTCAGCTGTTAATCAAGGACATTCACATCCAAAGATTGTACAAGCTATGATCGATCAAGCTCAAAAGTGCGCATTAAGTTCACGTGCTTTTTACAATGAAGTTTTCCCACAATACGCCAAATATATTACAGAATATTTCAAATACGAAATGGTATTACCAATGAACACTGGTGCTGAGGCCGTCGAAACATCAATTAAATTAGCTCGTAGATGGGGTTACGTCAAAAAATCAATTCCAGAAGATCAAGCTATTGTTATTAGTTGCAAAGGTTGTTTCCATGGTCGTACTATTGGTGTAATTTCAATGAGTGATGATCCATCATCATTCAGTAAATATGGTCCATTAATGAATGGTATCATTAAAATCGACTATAATAACACTCAACAATTAGAAGAAGTCCTCAAGGCCCATGGCGAGCGTGTTTGTGGTTTCATCGTCGAACCAATTCAAGGTGAAGCTGGTGTTGTAGTACCAGAAGAAGGTTATTTAAAGAAATGTTTTGATCTTTGCAAACAACATAATGTATTATTAATTGCTGATGAAATTCAAACTGGTCTTTGTCGTACTGGTAGAATGTTATGCAGCGATTGGGACAATATCAAACCAGATATGGTACTCCTTGGTAAAGCTATCAGTGGTGGTTTATTACCAATCAGTGCTGTTTTAGGAAGTAAAGATGTTATGCTCACCATCAAACCAGGTGAACACGGTAGTACCTATGGTGGTTCACCATTATCATCAGCAGTTGCCATGGCTGCATTAGATGTTTTAAAACAAGAAAATCTTGCTGAAAACTCATTAAAACTTGGTGAACACTTTAGACAAGAAATCTCAAATATTAATCACAGTGCCATTCAAATCGTCCGTGGTAAAGGTCTCTTAAATGCCATCGTTATTGATCCAACCTTCTCTGTATCTGCTTGGGACATTTGTATTAAATTCGCCGAAAGAGGCTTACTTGCCAAACCAACTCACGATAATATCATTCGTTTAGCCCCACCACTCACTATCACTTTAGAACAAATTAATGATTGCGTCAAAATAATTAAAGAAGTTTTCGAATCATTAAATAACAAAGATATCCCTGGTTCAAATTAAATTTATTATAAATAAAATATAGTTTATATACATAAAAAGCATTTTTTCATAAAAAAAAAAAAAAAAAAAATATTATCATTATAAAAGTTGTTATAATTATAATAATAATTTTTATTTCCTTTTTTTTTCATAAATTTTTTATTAATTTAATTTAAAAATATACACCATCCAGCTAACACACAAGATAAAATCTCAAAAAAATTTTTGTAAAAGAAAATTAACCAGATTTTTTTTTTTTTAATTTATATTAAAATTAAATTAATTGATAAAAATACATTCAAATTTTTTTTTTTTTTTCCCATTATTATTAATTTTTTTTTTTTTAAAAAATAGAAATAATTAAACATTTTGTATATCTTCACATATATACAAAAAAATTATATCCCACACTCACACAAAAAAAAATACTATATTTATAAATACTATACAGAAAATTAATTTTTTTTTTTTTTTGGTTTTTAAAAAATAAAAAAAAAAAAAAAAAAAAAAAAAAAAAAAAGGAAAAAATTTATTTAATTTTTTTTTTAAAAAAAACAAAAATTTTTATAACCCCCTACCCAACATTTTATACAACAGGGGAAAAAAAAAAAAAGGCCATTAAAAAAAAGGTTTTTTTGGGTATATAAAAGTTTATATAAACAAAAATATTTGGCATTGGTTTTTTTGTATAAAAAAAAAAAAAAAAAAACCTTGGAAAATTTCAAAAAAAAAAAAAAAAAATTTGTTTCAAAAAAAATTTCCCAAATTTTCTTTTTTAAAAATTTTTTTTTTAACCCTTTTTTCAAATCTTTTAAAAAAGGGTGGTAACTTAAAAAAATAAGGGTTTAAAAAAAATAAAAACATTAATAAATAAAACGTAAGGGTCCATCCTTTGCACCAAGAGCAAATTAACCCGGGCTTAGGGATTAAATTAAAACTTCCCCAAAATTTCAAATTTCCCCTAATTGG